TTATATTATTTGTAATTATTAATACAATTAAGAAATATAAATTCATAATATTAATTATTAGAGAATATCAATAATTTTTAAGAAAAAAAGAGATAGAAATATCAGCAACATGTCTCATGTTGCTGAAAAGGTACAAAAATTCAATTTCCCGCTTCTGCCAATGATATTTATCGACATGAGCCACGTCGATGAAAGTATGGGGGGAGAATTTTGGTAACCATTTTTACCGACATGAGCCACGTCGGTGAAAGTGTACTTTCACCGACGTGGCTCATGTTGCTGAAAAGGTTGCACCGGGTGAGGAGAGAATTCTGGTAACCATTTTTACCGACATGAATTACGTCGGTGATATTATGGTTTCAGCAACAAGGAGTATGTTGCTAAAAATGGTGAAAAATTTCGGTGGCCAGTCCGGTGAATTTTTTAGCAACATAAACCATGTCGGTAAATCTCTATTTTCAACAACAAGAGGTATGTAGCTGAAGAGGGTGCTAGATATCAGCAACATGGACCTTGTTGCTGATACATTACCGAGCATGGCTTCACCAAGAAAGGCATCAGCATCATGAGGTATGTTGCTAGAGTATTTTCAGCAATATGGGTAGCACTTTCACTGATGTGCTTCCATGTTGCTGAATGATGGAATTTTAGTAGTGAAAAAATTATAAAAAAAATTATTCATATATCACAACAGTCAATGTTTTTAACTCAAAATTTGCCCTAACAAGTAATTGTCATTTATTATTTTTTTAAGGTATATAAATACTGTATATGTTTTTCTACTTCAATCTTATTATTGTCAATTAATTTTAATTATCATCTTGTCACCAAATTTTTATAAAGTGGGTTAATGTTTTGATTATTAAAGATAATATAGATAAAAACATAAATTAATAACATTATTTGTAGATAATTAAAGTTAATTAGGTGGCTGTTAACGCAGCAAACCTCCCAAGTCTCCTACGCTAGTTGAATTAACCTGCAAAGCCCTGAGGGTTGGTCCCGGGGTAGACACTTCGATGTTTAAGTCAGTAATAGTATGAACTACTCTCAATGGGGATCTTGAAAGAGTTCTTTTTCTAGTTTTTCATCATACTTTCTTTGAGCCATGCGTGAACGTATTTGTACATCTTGGTCGGGCATCCATATGGCTTTCTTAATCATCATTATCGTGACATGATGTGTCTAACGGGGCAACTGTCTTTAGTGAATGTAACGTGCCTAAACGGAGTAATCGCATTAAATGAGCGTGACGTACTCCGATAGAGTAGGTCTTTCACAAACGGAGGTTAGGTGGGGATTGATGATCGAGTACAAGCATCCTCATCGTAATCTCCGTGGAATTGTGATACTGTAGACAGGGCACTGAGTTTTGCTCTGTTCAGTTGATTGAGTTGAGCTTTGTCCTGTTCATTGAGTCGAGCTCTATCTTGCCCTTACAGTGGCGCTACATTGAAGGTACAAGGAGGTAGACTTAATTAAAATGAAACCAATAAACTGCCATCAATTAACTCGGTTTCTTCCACAAAGATTTAAAAAATAAAGAAAAAAAAAGAAGAAAAGAAAACGTAATCTGAGCTTCTTTCTTGTTAGCATTTCACATGCCTGTAAAATGTGGAAACAGTTTCTTCCTCTTTAACCCCATGCTTCCCATGTTGTAGCAGAGAGATTATCCATGCATTTTAACAAGGATGAAACAAGATATTAAGAATGCAATAAATATTATATTTAAAAGTGGATTGGCAAATGTGCAAAATTACTTTCATGATTTCAGATATGATCAAATCTTTGTCTAAGCACGTGACTGCTCATTGCTAGAGGCCACTGCCAGCCCGCTGCCCCATTTGTGATTTATCACGAGGGTGGATAAGAGGATATCCATCGGTGATGGTGAACCCATTTCCCAAGAAGGAGGCCCAGGGGAAATCTTATGGTATGTCTCTCCTTCTTCATCCCATGAGGTGTAGACCTGGCTAATAAATTGGATTGGATGGGTTTAGATTGAATTATCTCGGATCTCAAGTTATTTGGATTAAGTCATTTTGAGTGTTAGGTTAAGGAAACTTACTCATGACCATCCATATAGGTCATGGATTGGATCATGTGGATCTAACTTTAGAAAATTAAATTTTTTTTATATTATTCTCTATTTTTTTAATAAAATATAATATTAATTAACTATTTAGTTAAAAAACTTATTAAATATTAATTTTTATTTCACAATTCAATTTTTTTCCAATCTCAAGAAAAGAAAAAGAAAAGATTAGTAATTATATAATTAGAACAAAAATATATATCAAATATCTAATACTTATACAATATTTAAAATTTATAATTTCATAAACGTATTAACCTTCATTAAAAGAAAAGATACGAAGGATTAGAGTTCAAAAGACAAATCCAATATATATTAATATCTAGTGCATACTCAATATTTATAAGAGTATTATACAAAAAATACAGCTCTATTCAATATTGGTTTAAGTACCATTTTAGTCCCTCAACTTTTCACTTTGGCACCAAAATTGTTTTTTAACTTTAAAAAGTACTAAAATTATCCTTAAACTTTCATTTTCGATACCAAAATAGTCTCTCTATCAGTTAAATGACAGGTGACACGTTAAAATATCACAAAATCACTAAATTTTTTAATTTTAATGACCTGTAATTCCAACTTGGCAAATTTGACATTTTTTATTATTGTTTCACAATTATTCCAC